GGGACGATGACCGTGTGATGAATTCAGGTCTGACGAATGCAGTGTTAGTGATGTTGGCGAGATATTGACTTGCCATGAGGCTTTATTCTCATCGATCAAAAATAAAGACTTCTTGAAGACTGCCATCAACATAAGTGATCGTGACGCTCAATTACTGGAAGTGAAGGTTATCCGTCAATCACTTAAAGTGGCGCGAGACCATGGTATCTCCCAGGCCTCCTTGAAATCAGCTGTATGCCTTTCGAAGCTTGCACACAATTGCAGCACCCTAGGTATCAACATCAAAGGTGCCGCGAAGTTTGATCTGGCCAATGTTCTATGGGATCAAGGAGAGATGGCAGCGTCGATCCAAATTTTGCAGCAGCTTAGGGAACGGAATGATTTGCATAAACAAGCCATTCCGATAAGCCGTGCAGAACTTCTTGTAACCCTGGTATGTCACAAGTTGTTATCCTCATCGGCGTCAGTATTAACATCTACCAGGGCCATCACGTTGCTGAGGCACGTTTGGAAAAGCCGGATACTATCGTTCAAGATTACCTGTCTGCTGCTGTCAAGGAGCTTAAAACCCGCTCGCTTGGCGAAGATGTTGGTCGGGTCTACCATGGCTTTGCCATGTTCTGCGACCGGCAGTTACAAAACCCAGACGGCCTAGAAGATTTCAGGCGGATTGAACAACTTCGCGACCGTAAAGAAAGGGAGGTACACGCACTCGAGGAAATGATGAAATCGGCCTATGGGAAAGAAAAAGAGGCTCTCAAATATCATCGGGCGAAAACCAAGCAGTGGTTTGATCTTGATGATCGCGAATATCAGCGTCTGCGGCGAAGTCGCGAGGCCTTCCTTCAACAATGCTTGGAGAATTACCTCCTTTGTCTCAAAGAGAGTGAAAGCTTTAACAACGATGCGCTCCGATTCTGCGCATTATGGCTGGATAAATCTGCCAGCACCATTGGAAACATGGCGGTTTCCAAGTATATCAGCCAAGTCCCAAGCCGGAAGTTCGCACCCTTGATGAACCAACTTACCTCCCGCCTGTTGGACGTTTCGGATGAGTTCCAGAAAATGCTCTTCGCCTTGATCTTTCGTATCTGTGTCGAGCATCCTTATCATGGCATGTACCAAATATTCGCTAGCAGTAAATCCAAGGGCGGCAAAGACCAGTCAGCCCTGTCTCGAAACAGAGCAGCTGGAAAGCTGGTGGATTGTTTGAAGAACGATAAACGCATGGGACCAACCTGGGTGGCGGTTCATAATGCAAACATCAGCTATGTGCGGTTTGCCGTCGAAAGACCAAACGACAAGTACAGAAGTGGCGCCAAAGTTCCCTTGAAAAAGCTTTCAACCGGAGAACGGCTCGAGCAGGATGCCGCAACACAGCGCCTACCGCCGCCTACTATGAAGATCGATATACGCGTTGACTGTGACTACAGCGATGTCCCGAAGCTGGTGAAGTATAACCCCGAGTTTACCATTGCCTCGGGCGTTAGCGCGCCCAAAATTGTCACGGCCATTGCTAGCAATGGATCGCGCTACAAGCAATTGGTAAGCCTGTTCACCTCTATTGATGCTGATCATCAGACTAACAATCCTCAAGTTCAAAGGAGGAAACGATGACTTGCGCCAGGACGCTATCATGGAACAAGTCTTCGAGCAAGTCAGCAGCCTCCTCAAAGACCATCAGGTCACTCGCCAGCGGAATTTGGGCATTCGCACCTACAAAGTGCTGCCTCTCACATCGAATGCAGGCATCATAGAGTTTGTTCCTCACACGATCCCGCTGCACGATTTCTTGATGCCAGCACATCAACGATACTTTCCGAAGGACATGAAACCCAACGTGGCCCGGAAACATATCGCAGATGTTCAGACCCGATCATTTGAACAAAGAGTGCGAACGTATCGACAGGTCACTGAGCACTTCCATCCGGTCATGAGGTTCTTCTTCATGGAGAACTTCAATAACCCCGATGATTGGTTCAGCAAACGGCTGGCCTACACACGGAGCACCGCCGCGATCTCCATCCTGGGCCATGTTCTGGGACTCGGGGACCGACACGGCCATAATATTCTCTTGGATGAGCGAACCGGAGAAGTGGTGCATATCGATCTGGGTGTGGCATTTGAGCAAGGGCGAGTTCTGCCCGTCCCGGAGGTCGTTCCTTTCCGATTAACACGCGATCTGGTCGACGGCATGGGCATCAGCAAGACCGAGGGGGTCTTCAGACGGTGTTGCGAGTTTACGCTGGAGGCCTTGCGCGAGGAGTCCTATAGCATCATGACCATTCTCGATGTGCTGCGGTACGACCCGCTGTATAGCTGGACGGTGTCGCCTCTTCGAATGAAGCGAATGCAAGACGCGCAGGAGGCTGATGGAGGTCCTCCTGTGATCCCTGGGGCCAACAACGATCAACAGTCGACCAATGAGCCCAGCGAGGCTGATCGTGCATTGACGGTTGTCGCGAAGAAGCTTAGCAAGACGTTAAGTGTGACAGCAACAGTAAACGAATTGATCCAGCAGGCCACTGATGAGAAGAACCTTGCTGTTCTCTATTGCGGTAAGTTTGATCCTGTCTTCTCTCTCAAGATTGAGTACAAAACTGACCATCTTAGGCTGGGCTGCATACGCGTGAATCAGTTTTTCTTCTGGTGCATCTTTCCCACATAAAGTCAGATCTGTAAATCTAGTGGCATATTTCAATCTTACTGTAACTATTGATGTGTGAAATATTTACGAATAAGCGTCACGTTTTCTTTCAATATAATGATAAACCAAGAAAATGTAAGACATAGGGGATATATATAGTAGGGTCAAGCCAATCATGTATAATAAAGTGGCCGTTAGTTTGCGGGGCCGTGGCGATAAGCCAAACTCCAGGGACTTCCGCATTTGTCACCTGCCCTGCAATCCTCGAGTGTCTCGTGCTACATTCGCATTAAGGGGCCTTAAGGTATTTGTGTCTTCTTTACACAAGCATGTAGTCACTAGGACCCTAGTCCACATCTCTCAATCTCTGTCCCAGTACCAACATTTCCCATGTCGTCCGCCTCTGCACCCAACCGGGGCCTGGTGGTCTTCTCCGGAGGCAGTGCCGCGAATAACCTCGTTGACGTGTTCAATGCCGTGCGCGGGAGCAAACACTGCTCCCTCAGCTACATCATCCCCATCAGCGACAATGGGGGTTCCTCATCCGAGTTAATCCGCATCTTCGGCGGCCCTGGTATAGGAGACGTGCGCAGTGAGTCACATACCAACGTCCGCCCTATCCCACATCTCTAACAAACCCAACCAGGCCGCCTCGTCCGACTGATCCCCGAATCGCCTCCCAACTCTGAACGAGCAGCCATCAAAGCTCTCTTCAACCACCGGCTCCCAGCCGACGCCAGTCTCGCTCACGCAGAATGGCACTCCATCGTAGATGGCACCTCCACCCTCTGGGCCGCCATCACCCCAGCCAAACGGGAACTCATCCGTTCCTTCTTCAACCTCCTAAACCTGGAGATCCTGAAGCGTGCCCGTCCCCCAACCTCCACTTTCGAATTCACCTCCGCCAGCGTAGGCAACCTCTTCCTCACCGGAGCTCGCCTTTTCAGCGGTAGCTTCGAAAGCGCCATCTACCTCCTAGGCAGCATCGGCGGCGTGCCCTGGGACCTCGTCCGGGTCATCCCAGCCATCAACTCCAACTTCTCGCACCACATCTCCGCCTCTCTGGCCGACGGAACCATCATCGTAGGTCAAAACAGCATCTCCCACCCCTGCGAAGCCATCCCGCTTCGCTCTCCACGCCCCCTCCTCGCAGACGGCACAGAAAACTCTCCCCTCCACCACCCATCATCAACACCAACACCACCCTACTTCGAAGACGACGACCATCCTCCAGGCTTCCTTCCCACTCTCCGCCACAAAAACATCTCCTTCAGCAAATCAGATACCCAGGACCTCTCCTCCCGCATCTCCCGCATCTGGTATATCAACCCTTACGGCCAGGAAATCCAACCGCCCGCTAACCCCCGCGTCATTGAATCCCTCCATGACGCTCAGGCTATCATATATAGCATTGGCTCTTTGTATACCTCCATCATTCCCTCTATTATTCTCCGTGGCGTCGGCCAAGCCATCGCTACCGGCCCAGCAAGGCATAAGATCCTCATTCTGAATGGGTCTCTGGATCGCGAGACGGGGCCGTCTCATGAGCCGTTCACGGCTTCGGACTTTGTAGAGGCTATTACCCGGGCTGGGGAGGAGAGTCGGGGTAGGGGTCCGTTGAATATGGATTCTTCTGCTGGAGCGGGAGCTGGAGCCGTGGAAGATGGAGACAGGGAAAAGAAGGAGGAGGAACGACTCCCGTATTCGGCGTATGTGACGCATGTTCTGCATTTGGATGGACCGGGCACCCCCCGTGTCGATAAGGATCGACTTGCGGAGATGGGGATCGAGACGTTGCGGCTGTATGGGAGGAAGATTGTTGGCGCTAATGGGGAGGATGTTGGCCTTGGGATGCGGTATGATTCGACGGCGTTGGTGCAGGCGCTGGAGGTGGTGCTGGGGAAGAAAGGGGATGCTATATTGAGGGGGAAGGATAGGAGTGGGATGAGTCGGAGAAATACGCTGGATCCGGGGAGGAGAGACTGAAGAGGAAGAATGGAATAGTGTAGAGGAGATATAGTAAGTTTGGATTTGACAAAACGGAGCTACAAGCGCTTACTGATTTATTGCGATTATTTGTATATTTACATTGCTCGTTCTTAAGATCATGATTAATACCACCATAGAAACACCTCGATTACTCTGACATAGATGATAGATAATGGTCCGTGAATCCGCTGGACGCCGCCCAATGCTTCACGAACGGTTTTCGACATAAGACAACCCGTAGAAGAAGATCCAAAAGATGAGATGAAAAAGAAAGGCCATACCGTTGTCAGAGAATGATGAAGTCAGCTAATATATACAATATAACGGTGAAGGGTTAAAGGAAGAATATGCCCATGTATGACCACTAAGCTCGGGCCGATGGTCTCGGTTTCCAATTCTGACGGTTGAAGCTAACCTGGGGAGACCGGCTCCCTTGGGGAAGGCTTTTGAAATCAGGATAGAGACTTGGCCCGATGTCCATCAGAATGGCCTTTTGTGGTTCTGCTGCCACCGGGCCAGAGGCTCTTGCACGGTTGATGGGCGAACGCGCGTTTGGGGGCGTCAGCGTGGACTTTTGTTTAGTAAGATCCTTGATTATGTCTCGGAGTTCGTTGTCGTCCTTCGAGATCTGAGCGCGGATAAAAGCTGGGTGAGAAGTCTGAAGTGCGGACATGACTGACGGTCGTGGCGTATACTCGTATTGCTGAGGGTTGGGTGGTGAGATGGGGGTGATGGTGGGATCAAGGAATGCCTTTTCGTTCTTGTCCAAGAGCCGAGCGACGTCAAGACTCTCACCGTGGGGAATCTTGTGCGGGTGGGATGGGGTTACACAGTCCATATCAACCTCTTTCCGCAGGACGTGGTCGATGTCCACAGCTGAGAAGTACGCGCAGGACTGGGGAAGGTCGTTGATCCCGACTTGCTGCGAGAACATTGCACGGGTCCACACATTGGCAACCTGTAATGCCAGCGCAGCTCGATACTTGTCTTCGTCTTTGACTAGATATCTGATCTCGTCATGGACAGTGATTGCCAGACGAGCGGCGATATTGAAGCGACGAATGAGGTAGTCCATAGCGACAATCAAGAGATGGAGATAATCAACGCCAGACGACTGAATGGCCCAGTTAATCCTCGATGTCATAAAGCTTCCCTTGTTAATGAAGCGCCGCATCAGCGCTTCAGTAATTCCGGCTCCAAGTGTAGGTGTTCTGGGCCTCTCTTGCTCAGCGAATTCTTCCAATTTGTTGAAGACAAATGACTCGGTTCCACCCCTCCAGAAAGGACCTTCGCAGAGTATACGGCGAGTCGTACGGGTACCCTTCGTTTCTTTATATAATTTTGTTGCAACCTCCTGGGTCTGCCTTTCTGACATGGACGGATTGAATTGACGCAGCAAAGTAGCGGCGAATTTGACGCCAGCTCCATAGATACGTCCATAGTTAAACACCTTGGCATCGTTACGTGAGATACCCAGGATCTGGGCAGTTCGGGAGTGCATATCAGTCCCTGCTGCCTTCGATCCTTCTAGTGTCATAAACCCGATGGCGTTGCCGCCGTGGATCTGGAACTGGGCATCCCCAACAAGACTGGCAATCCATAGTTCCTGAGAATCGACATCTGCGCCGACAAAAGAGTAGCCAGGCGGAGCTTTGATCATGGCCTTGAGCTCAGACCCGACACGGTTCCCTTTCGCATTACTGGCTGTAAGCCATGTGTTTTCAACTGCCCTTCGGGTGATGGTTCCCATTGGAATGATCTGTGGCAGGATGAACCCGAGCCGGTGGTCTGTCTTGCTACTCGATGCCTGGTCTCGCACTTCGTCCTCGTAAACTACCATTTGACCCATGATACGGTCACGAGCACTGATCCAGTAAGAGCAGGATGCATTCATCTCTAGCGCCTCCTTGGCGAGGGCGTACTGGGATGAGAGCGTTCCACGTTCAAAATACTGCATGTACCCTTTCGCTAGAGGGTTTGTACACCGTGCTTGAGGGCCATCCTTGTGCGGAAGTTTGAAGTAAACATGTTTTCTGTCATTCTGCAATTCGGGATTCTTCTCCTCGGACATGTCGCATAGAACGACAGGCTGGTTCTCATAATTCTTGACAAGCTCGCGCGGGACTTTGAAAGTCCACCCATACTTATCAGACCATGTCAAAGGGTAACCGTCCCAGGACAGCTTGAGAAGTATAGGCGCGATACGAGTACGCACAGACAAGTTGATGTCTGATGTGTTGGTGGCAAACAGATCTTTATACCATTTCGGCATACCCGGCTTCTTCTGCCTGGCAGCGGGTCGCGGAGGGTCGCCTTTCTTCTTTCCTTTGATCATCTTCACCTCCTGGCCGGACCAGTCCAACTGCCGCAGCCAGGGATCATTCGTATAGATGTCCGGAGAGTCCTTGACTTTTAAAGCTTCCTCGCAAAGTTCGATCATTTTTCGCTGAACATCCTCAAGACGCTGGTGATAGGTTGCTTCCGCATTGGCGATGTACTCCTTCCAAGTCTCATTCACCGGCAAAATTACCGAAGAGAGATGTCGAAGGGCGCCAAAGCTGACAGGGTGCGGGCAGACTTCAAGGAAGTTAGGGAATACTTTCTTGTACACTCGGTGGGTAATGGCAACATCCGCTGCACAATAATCGAGCAGTTCCTCCAACTTCCCCAGGATTCCGTCTCTGTCAAGTTCACCGAAATAGTCACGTTGCGCCTTGTCAATCGTAACATCACAATGGAATTTGGCCACGTCACGAAGCGAATTCACCGAGCTCCTTCCTACCCAGAGTTCTTCTTCCTCATCACTGAGCATCTTACTTTCTAGTAGGGCTGCCAGCTCAACCGAGTTACTCTCACTCGCGATCTTGTTTCTCAAGTCCCTATTCTTCTTGTGCCGCATCCAGGTAGGTCTCTGCTGTGAACACATACCATTCACAGCCACGTGAAGGGACATGGTATCAAGAAAGAAGTTGCGAGACTGGGCCATATCATACTCCTCAAGAACGCGAGCGCGATCATAACCAATATTATGGCCCACGACAATTCGCGGCTTCGACGGGTCTCCGAGGGGAACGAGCTGGACCGGGTTTTCCGACTCTCCTAATAACCAGGGCGATATCCAAGCATACCAAGCCGTAGGACTAACAGCGCAAGCCATAACAGCAAAAGAATGCTCCTTGTACATGACTTCGGTGTCGAACGTCAACATGGCCTCATTCGGTGCATCAACCGCTTCCCACGAGCCGTCGCTGCTGTACTTTGTCCATCCACTGCGTTTAATCCATTTGCGCGGCTTCTCCGGAGAGTTCACCACGGCGTACTGCTTGGAATAGGAGAGATAGGGCTCCGATGCATCCATTCCCAGTTTGTAGAAATGCTCATCAAGCGATTGCCCTTGAAGGGCGGGCATGTCAAAGGCGATGGGCTCCGCGGCATCTTGTGACTTTCCAAGTAAATCGTGCCTTGACAGATGTTCCTTTGACAAAGCGACCAGACTGGGATCTGGCGGTTCTGCTTTCTGAAGAAATACTTGGGAGTAGACATGGTCGCTTAATTGTTGGACTCCGATCTCGTTGAATCTAGCGGAAGCGGGGACTGCGAAATCAGTATATAGGGCTTTCGCAACTCAAAACAGCTGAAACACCCACCTGCAAGAGATTCCCGTTTAGGTGCCTCATCAGAAGTATGCGCTACAGACTGTGTCGCAAGATACCTTGCTAGCAATGATGAAGATTGTGGCCGTACGATGCGTGGCGAGCGCAATCTCTGCGAACAAAAGCGTAGGACATCCCTACGACAGGGAGTGCAGGGATGACTCCAGAGCATTTTCTTCATGAATTATAGAAAGATGATTATCCCCATGACATGGTAAATAACGTAGGCGTCGCAGCCAATGCTGCGTGATAGTAAATGCGACGAGAGGGACGGCCGGCTTTCCAGGAGCGCTCGTACTTTCTTTCCTATCGCGGAATAATCCCAGCGTCATGATGGAAGATTCCCGGATTATCCTCTCTCCGGATAAATGTCACCGCCTACTCCAATGGGCGGCCGAGTGTTATCGGGCATCGATAAGCCGCCAACTATTTCTCCGATCGCCTCGCCTCCCCTCGTCACCTTAACTGCACTTCTCGCTTACCTGCGCTACGAGCTTGCTCAGTACTGTCTGGGAGATGAAGCAGCAAGATTTACCCGCCGAGGTACAGGATTTTTTAGTCTCTTGACATATCGCCACAACCACAGAGCACTTCTCAGCGCCTGGCTGCTCTTACGGAGTTTACCCTCGCTCCCTCACTAGTCCCGACAGTACGGATCCAATCGACTCTCGAAGCACTGATTAAAATGGACAGCGCATCTCCCAGGCGTCGGGCTTCAGCTGCTCGTCACCTTTCCTTAGAACCCTCACCCCCCGCTCATCGTCGGCTATCTCACGAAAGCATAGACGCACTAGAAGCCTCTGGCCACCAAAAGAAGCGCCGTCGTACCAGTCATTCTGGGCGACAGGAGAATGCGCCCCCGGATGCAGTTGACCTGACGGCGGCAGAGGATATGGACCCTGTGTCAAGGACACAAGCCAAACAACGAGCAGATGTTATCCTCGCACAGCAGTCCCTAGATCATAACAAAGGGGAGTCTGTTCTACTTGCATACAAGTGTCCTGTCTGCATGGACACCCCGGTTGATGCTACCAGTACTGCATGTGGTAAGTTTTTATTGTTGCGATATTGCGGGCTATCTAGCTGACTCAATCAAGGACATCTTTTCTGTCACAAATGCATTATGGATACCCTGAAATTCAGCGAAGCACAACGGTCGGATATGTCCGGAAAAGGCCCACGGGGCACTTGCCCCGTGTGCAGAAAATACCTCTCGCGCAATGACTTGCCCGGTCCGAAGAGGAATCTCGTACCTCTTCAAATCAAACTTACGACTAGAAAGAGGACAGAGACCGCGCAATGAGCAGTCATTGTGCATATCAGTTCATGACCGTTCCATTCAGCAACTCCCAACTCGCTTTCGGGGCATTATGGGTTACAGAAGGGAAACATGACGACTTGAAGATATGGAAGTGAATGTCTAGCGGCCATTTACTTCCTCGCATCATGGTTATCGGGCCAATTACCTCTGTGTTGAAGATCCTGCTCTTGTGAAGTATCCATGAGGGATAACCCCGGTGACTTCAGCTTGGTGGATTTTAGAAACCTTGGCTTGAACCTGGAAAAGGGGACCAAGGCAAGATTCGCCGTGACACGGCGAAATTTGTATTAATCCGACCAGATCGGTACAGCGAGTGTCTCGTTTTAGGCGTTCTCGGCATACTTTAGCATACTGTGTGTGGAAGACAAATCCTGGGGCGTGGCCCGGAGGATACCACGGCTCTTGCATAGACTAAACCGTCGCGCCCGGGCTTTAAGGAATAAGCTTACAGAAGCCAAGACTGATCGTGCAGTAGTAGCTTGTCCATCCACTAATGAGATGAAAACTTGTCTACTCCGTATTTTCCCTTCCATTCTGGTGTAAGCAGCACTCTGTTGATTTACCATCTGTCGATCTTTAAAGAATGCGGATTTCCTTGCCGTTGGAACAACCAGTTGGGTCCGTGTCCCGCGGCGACGTCATTCCCCCGCGAAGGAGAATAACGGATTAGCGCTCTTTCCGTCTTAGCCATCTTCCCTTCTATTCTCCTATTCAGAAGCTTATATCCACTAGCCTTTGCCAGCTCTGGGTTAACTTCTCTCCCACCTCTGTGAACCACTATGGCATATGTCACTGCTTGCGAGTGCCCTTCATTGCTGGCACCGATTCACCCTTACTGAGTGCCTCTACTACACCCACGAGCAGCATTGATTACATCGCAAGCATGAGTATCTACTCGCAAGATCATGCGCAGTCGGCAGCGGGACTGCAGTCGTCTCAAGACATAGCTGATATCGAGGCAAATCCGCGCACCCCCAATCCGCCCATATCACCAACTTCTAAGGCGCCGCCTTCGCCTCCCCCTGAAACTTTCACCACGGCCGCCAGGCTCAACTCCCGTGAAACTGTCCGAAATCGACTTCGACGCTCCACCACCGCTCGCTCGTACTATCGCGAAGATGGCGCGCTCGATCCGAACTGGCAGCCAGGGACGGAACCAGGCATCGATCCAAGCCAGCCGCTTCCTGCGTATAGCACAGAATGGATGGCCTCAACGCCCGCAGAGTTACACGGGACAAGTGAAATCACTGTTGTGGACTTTTCGCAACATGAAATGAGGCAATATGTTCTGGACAATGATACCCTTGAGCCGTTTCTTGCGCGGGAGAGAGAGCCTTGGGTACAATGCAGATGGATCAACGTCAACGGACTCAGTTGGGATGCTATAAGGATCTTGGGTAACGAAAAAGGCCTACACAGACTCGCCATCGAGGACCTAATAAATGCAACAAATCGCACCAAAGTTGACTGGTACTCCGACCATGCATACATTGTGCTAAAGCTCCAGAAATTGATAAAACTCAAAGAAGATGACAGTGATTCTGAGGATGAGGAAGATGAAAATACACACTGGACGAATGAGCGCAAAAGTTCGGCAAGCAGCATTTCCCTGAGAAGGCCTACTAAGAGAACACTTGTGTTGGAGGCATTGAAGGACCTTTTCCGGCCGAAAACCCGCGAGGACAGCCCTGATGAACAATACCCTGGAAAGGATGCCCCCTCAGGTAGGGGGAATTCTACTTCCAAGGCATCTAATATTGATGATGGTGCCAACGTTAAGTTCACGCCTCGGAGCATCCAACGTTACCGAGGTGGCCCGAACGAGGACCGGATAGCCTTCATGGAGCGCCATGCTATACTGGCGGCAAAGGGACTCTGTGTTACTCTGGAACAGGTCTCAATTTTCTTACATGCGGATAATACGGTGACTTCCTTTTTTGAAACGAGTGCCGATGATATTGAGGGTCCAATAGTCCGACGTCTCAGCACCCCGGAGACGATGTTGCGCCAGTCGTGCGATGCTAGTATGGTCGTGCAAGCCATTCTGGATGCTATCATAGACTTGGCCATACCAGTGACCACAGCTTATCAAGATGTCATTGGTGACCTTGAGCTCGAGGTACTGACAGATCCAGACGTGGATCAGTCCAAAAGCTTGTATGTCCTCACTTCAGAAATTGCAATCCTCCGAAATTGCATGCAACCAATCGCGACTGTCATCAATGCCCTTCGTGACCACCGGTCCGACCCTGTGCATACTCCTGGGCTGGGAGTGTTGAGGAATGTCGGAACCGCGACTCCTACAAATGATTGGAGTCCATATATTGGAACGGCCACACCAAACCTGAAAAGCCTGAGCGGATCGAGCGTCTCCATCAGTCCAATGTGTCATACATACTTGGGAGATGCGCTAGACCATTGTATAACCATAGTGGAAGGATATGATCAAATGAGAAGGGCTGCTGACAATATGATCGACCTGATCTTCAATACGATTGGTGAGTGTGAATCATGCCATCGGGATTTCGTCCGAGGCTTACAGTAACTAGGCGCTTATCAGAACGAGAGTATGAAGCAACTCACCATTGTGACATGCTTCTATCTTCCACTTACCTTCTTAACGGTGCGTGTTTCTTCGCTTGCATACAATGCTTATCTGACTGTAAATCAGGGCTACTTTGGCATGAACTTCACCTCCTTCGCTGGCATAGAACATAGCGATGCGTATGTCTATTATTCCGTCTTGTAGCCATGACTAACCCAAACTCCAGATACTTTTGGATGATTGCCGTTCCTTTTGTGTTCGTCACAACCATCTTCTTGATGTAAGTCTTACTTTGGCGTCAGTGAATAGCATCACTAACCCCCCACAGGCGTGACAAGCTGCAGCGTTACTTGGTGTTGCTTGCCCAGAAACGGCTGATAACCAGCTCTAGAAGGAGCAGACAGAGAAGGAGGGCCACCGAGAGGACATAGCCTTGTCATCCTCGCTTAACTATCATACTTGTAGACCATCGGTAAAGACATTGTATACAGCCACATAGAGCTAATGATCACGATACAAAGCTTCTAGCATCATACGGATTGTGGGAGCCTTTAGTATGTCTATTGGTACCTCTGATTACTGCCAGACCAACAACGTGGCCATAAATCAGAGTCATGTGCAACAATCAAGCCATTACCAATCATCACACTTCGCATTCCCATATTAAACTGGTATATCCTCAGCGGGAATAAGTATCAAAATTCTCTGCATCCGGCCATTGCATCTGCAACCAATCATCCATGGAGAACGCGAAATCCAATCCCACGCCGTCTTCTGGCACTAAAATTGACGGCATCACATAATCATCAACTGGTCACCACATTACCCATTAGCAAGCAAACATAAACCTAAACCACACCATTCAACTTACCATCTTGTACACCCACACTCTGACCCACTCCCAACCCTACCCCCAAGTCACCATCATCATCAACCTTACACTCCCCCACCCCCGCAAGAGTAAGACTAACAACCTGCGCCGCCCTCGCCGCCTCGCGCGAAGTCGCCGTCGACCCACGACGCAACCAAATAGTCCTCGCCGTTCTCAAAGCATTCAGCACCTCCTCTCCCCTATCTAAAAGCCCTCCACAATGCACCAACGAGCAAAGAATCATCGTCGCAGTCAGAAACAAATGCGTCATACTAGAAGTAATCCGCCAATGCATATCATGTAATTGACCCCCTCTGCAAGTCTCCTCGTCGAGGATGTGTTGGATACGTAGAGCGCCGAGTGATGCGTCGATACAGGCGGTGCGGGAGTATGCGCATTGAGGATTTTCCGAGTGTATCTCACCCGAAGGGGTAG